CAGGCTTCTCGGGCTGGGTATTGGGGCGGGGGCCCCGTCGGGGAGGGTGGCTTGGCACAGACGGAGCCTACCTGACCTTGATCGGGGAGGGCCCTGCTTTGGGTGAGAAGGGATGCCGTTTGTGTTTAACCTTAAAAAGATTCATTACCACTAAGTCGCTACACAGGCATCATGTGTACTTGTAGGTTAAGTGTCACTGAGTTAAAGCATGTATTCCTTTAGAAGGCAAGCAAGGTTTTCCTCATAAACATCAGAAAAGCACTTAACTTTCTTGTCAAGTTCGGGAGGACTGAAATGACTTGCATTTGATGTGTCTGCTGTACAAGTTATGCTGCCTTTTTTGGTGTTGCTTTGGAGTATTAATACTCATTATGTTTTTACAGTGTGGTAATGATAGTGAAGAAGATATGTTTGGTGACTATGACAGCTTTTATGGAAATGATTCTTTGTTAGCTCAAGTTGATATTCTAGACCTCAAATGCCTGCAGGATAAAAATATGGATATTAAAGCAGCTGGAGAAATCATACCTGGAAGTCTTCAGTCAGGAATTCACCAGAAAAAACAAGATAACTTTTCTGCTTCAGAAAATTTGATTGTTCTTAAAGCTGACAAAGAGGATGCTTTCCAGATGAATGAAAATGACCCGGTGGATAGCAACCAAGAACTGACTGAATCTATTTTAGATGACTTGCCATCATCACAACTTTTGTATTTTGAGAAAATGGATGAACTTCCTTCTGGTTCTAGAGTATCTTCAATCTCAGAAAGGAAGAATAAATGTTTGAATGCCTCCTTGGACAAAATTGGGAGTCTGTCATCTTTTTGTCCTGATGCTGAACACGGGAACATACCTACTGACTTTTCCTCAGACTCTAAGTGTGATTTGGTTAAAACTGAGAGTCTTAGAGATCATCTGAAAAGTGCTATGACTGGAAATGCCAAAGCCCAGACTCTGCAGGTCTCTAAGACCAAACAGCTTAAAGAAGCTGTTTTGTCTGAAGAGATTTGTGTTGCTAGGAAAACTATTGAATCTTCTTCTGTTGATATAGGCCCTTTTTATGGATTACCTAGCAAAGTTAAAGATCTTTTCAGACAATATCGAGGGATTGAAATGCTTTATGGTAATGTAACTAATGGTTTGTTTAAAAGAAAAAAATTGTTAGTGAAGTGTTACCCATTTTACCCATTACCCTGTAAAAATATTTAAGTTAAGGTAGAATTTAATGTAAACCATGTTGGAAAGTGATTGTCTTAAGTGGTTATTTTGGGTTTTTAGATGGGTGGGAAAGGTTGATATGGCTTATAGAATACCTTGGAAGGCTCAATCACTGGAAGCTTTTAGCAGTTTATTGAAGAAAAGCTAGGCTTAAAATATTGTATGCAAAACGTAAGTATTTTGATATTGGTTAACGTGCCCCTGGGGGTTGCTTGTAATTTTTTTTTAATTTTACAGAATGGCAGCATGATTGCTTAATGTTAGAATCTCTACAGCAAAGAAAGAATTTAATATATTCATTGCCAACCAGTGGTGGAAAAACACTTGTAGCTGAAATAATAATTCTCCAAGAATTACTCTGCAGGCAGAAGGATGTTCTGATGATCCTGCCATATGTTGCCATTGTCCAAGAAAAGGTCTGGTCTGAATACAGTGTTTCTTATACTGCTTGTCTTTTCTTATATGCCATGTTACTTGTCTGGTTTTAACACTAATTTTAGCAAACTCCATGATTGTCATAAATATGTGGTGGGAAGTGAGTGAATTCTTTCCTAAATGCTGCTCTGAGGGTCAGTAGTCTCATAGTAAAAGAGACTTAAATTGAGATGAAGATGCTGACTTATAAAGTAAAATGTGCTGAATTTGAAATAATAGCTTCTTGCAATGTTATGTATAGTTCTGCAGCCTTAGAGCTGTATTGCCCACCTTGCTAAAGAAATGGTCTTGAAATAAAAACTAATAATTTTTTGATATAAAGGAGAAGTTAATTTTACAGAGCAGATGTAACCCAAGATTGGTAACACTTGTAAACACTTCAGCTTTGCAATTGGAAAATGTAGGCATAGCTAATATGTTTTGACTAATTCAGACAGTTGATTGTGGTGCGGGTTGGCTATATGCATGATTTTAAGACAGCTCTGAAGTCCAAAAATGAGCATGAATTTGTTCTGTAATTGATTTTTTACAGGTTAGGGGTTTATCAAGTTTTGGGATAGAATTGGGTTTCCTGGTTGAAGAATATGCAGGAAGTAAAGGAAGATTTCCACCAATCAAGAGGAGAATAAAAAAATCTCTTTATATTGCTACTATAGAAAAAGGACATGCTCTAGTGAATTCCTTAATTGAAACAAAAAGAATTGATGACCTTGGTCTGGTTGTAGTAGATGAGGTATGCTATATTTATGATACACAAGTATTAGGAAAGAGCAATTTTTGATTACTTGGTTTTGCTTTGAGTGTTTGTCATGAAAGTATTACTACTTAACTAAGTTTTTTCTTCATTGGTACGTAGTTCTGTAATATTGAAAGTTATTTTTCTTTAACTGAAGCATTTGTTGCTGTATCAGGACAATAGATTCCATAGTGAGAGATCTGCTGTGTAGCAGTTGATGGTGAAGTACTTAGTACCTGCTTATCAATTAGACATCTCTAATGGATTAGAAAAAACATAAATAATTTTAACTGTATGGAATGTATTTTGTGTATCATAGAATCATTAGGTTGGAATAGACCTCTAAGATCATCAGGTCCAACCATTGACCTGACACCACCGTGCCCCCTAAACCATGTCTAGAAGTGCTACATAAACAAGTTTCTTGAACACCTCCAGGGATGGTGACTCCACCACTTCCCTGGGCAGCCTGTTCCAATGTTTGACAACCTGTTCAGTAAATTTTTTCGTAATGTCCAATCTAAACCTCTCCTGGTGCAA